ACCTATAAAAAGTAGCTATTGGAAGGAATATTCGCTTACTGTTCCAAAATAACAAAGCAACTCTCACAAAAGTTTCTGTAATATAACACAAATTATGCAATATTTACAGAGTAGCTGCTGGGGGAGATAGATTAGAACAAATTCTAAGTCCCGCTTGTTGTGGATTTGCACCAGTGAGGGTTTCAAGAGCAAGTACCATTTTTTATGATAATAGAAAAAGGTGATATGAGTTTAAAAACCTATGAAACCATTTCTCTGAGCATATTTAGGCAAGAAAAATGTTAGTCATCCTCTACTTCTTACCCCTGTTCTCATATAATAACATAAAGGCAAGAGAAAATAGGGAAAAAAATGGAGCCGTAGTTTTATTTTTAATTTCAATGAAGAGGTCAGAATAGCTGCAAGCTGGCTAATCTGCAGTTTCTCGTCAGCCACATAGAAAGGAACAATTTGCAAAGCAAAGACTCATTAGCTTAATGTAAGGCCACGCTGTGATTCCAGCAGAGCCCGCTGCAGGGTGAGTCTTCAGAACCCAGCAAAGCAAAAGCAGTCAGACTGAGGAAAGCCACACTCTGAAGGCTGCATCTGAAAAATTATTTATATAACTCGAAGTGAGAATCTAAAACTCCTAATTAGAGACTATTTTAGTGCTTCCCTTTGAACTTGCTAAGGTTAGTTATTTAAACATATTATTCAATATTTATCTTCCCAACTGAAAGAATTGTCTTCTCAGTATCCTGAGAATACACTCTGCTTGAGAGTATTTTCTCTTGTTTATCTTTGAATTACCAGAAATGACTATGAACAAATAATTGTTGGATTACGAGTGATCCTGCTCATACATGTGCCTGTTTTGCAGATGTTTCTATTTAGCAGGCACAGTTCTGTGCCGTGGATAAAATAGCCATGGGTATAATAGGCTAAAATCTCTACCATGATGGAGCTTATAGTCTTCCTGAATGAGAAAGGTCATAAACTGGTAGAATACGTCATGTTGTAAAGCAGTAAGTACCAGGGAATCCAGAGAGAGCCAGGTGAGAAATTCAGTCGGTGTTGAGGGTGTGGGTATAATTTTAATTAAGGTAAGTAGGGCAAGCTTCACTGAGAAAGCAAGGAGGGCGGTCCACGTGGATACCTCTGGAACAAAGATTTGAGGCAGAAATAATGACAAGAGCAAAGCCCTTAGACAGGAGCAGAGGTGGTATTCTAAGTTTAAGAAGCACTTTGGAGCAGAAGTGAAGAAAAGGGAAGCAAGGAGATTAGTAGGAGAAGCAAGCAGAGAAATAACCAGAGACTCACCGCGTGTGTTGTGCACCACTGTGATGATACACATTTCTACCGAGTAAAATGCCTGGTGTTCACTTTCTTCTGGATCAATAAGACACACAAAAATTATACTTCAGTAGAATGTGAGGAATGGAGAAGGAACAGAGGAATCACCGATCTGATTGCTCACAGCGTTACGTTGTCAGAAGTGTTGAGAAAGTACAAGGGACAACAGAAGAAACACCCCTTTGGAGGCCATGAGAGTAAGACAGGACAGTGACGACTGTGCCTAGACAGAGCCGTAACAGTGAAAGTGAAAGCTTCTGTGTATGCAGTTGTGCACTGCTTAAAGACAAGGGTGCACTCTGAGAGATGGATTTTTAGCTGATTTTGCTAATGTATGAAAATCATAAAGTGTACGCCCACAGACTCAAGCAGCTGTGATGTCACTAGGCAGTAGGAGTTCTTAACTTGATTAAATTCTTAAGACCATTGCAACATACACCATCACTGAATGCAACATTATTATGTATGCAGACAATGACTATGAGGGTTTACCGACAGCTGGATATACTAAAAACTGGAAGAAATGCAATAAAAGAGAACAAACTCTGAGGTGGATAAATAAAAAGAGACAGAGAATGAGAAGAGGAGAGAGAGGAAAATAATCTAGTGTCAGCATCGCTAACAATGAAGTATGCTTATTTTGCAAAAAATTGCCTAGTATTTCAAAGGAAGAAAAAAATTTAAGCACCTTTCTTGAGTCAGAAAATATTGTGAAAATCTCACTTCAATTAAATTAAATTAAATGGTTTAATACTTTTACCAACTCTATGAAGTCGGTGCTCTTATTTGCTTACAGAGTGACACAGACTCGGATGATGCAACCCACTTACAACCTCATAATTACGATGGACAGGATTGAAAACTACTTTCTACTAACAGTACATGATATCTGATACTCTTTCTTCCTCTAAAAGTGCATCATTTGTTTGATTGTTTTTTTGCAATATTGCAATAGCTGTGTTACGTTGACACGGTTACCAAATAAAGATAAATATTGCCATCTAGTGGCGTTGCTAATCTCAGTGTATAGTAGAACATACACATAAGCATTCAGTAATTGTACGAAGATGTCCTACATAAAGAGATTAAAGATATTCTTATAAATGTATGAAATGATTGTATGATCAAGTAAATGTGATTAAAGATTAGATTTTTGCAGCACTGAAGTCAACTTCTGCTTGAATATTGTTTATTATTTATAGCTAATATATTAAAGATTTTCTTTTCACACTCACACTGTATTCCTTAATTTGCTTATTCTCTTACTTCTTCATATATCCATCTGCATAGTATAATACACTCTATGTACATTTTTTATACTCAGAACCATGATAGAACTAGATGCTGAATTTAGAAAAATTTGTGCAAAAGGTCCATGTCCTAATAGGCACCGAGGGAAAAAATACACATAAAATTTTATCTTATAATCAGATTTTTTAAATACAGCACAGTACAAAGAATGTAAAGATACAACAGTGGTTGCAAATACATTCAACTTAGAGTTAGAGGAAGGTTCATGAAGTAGGTAATAATTCCAATGTTGTAAATTTCCATCGTCTACCAAGTGCCATTGTCTCCTTAGGATAAAAAAAAATGAGTAGGTTCATTTGCATTCAAACTTTCAGTGTAGCCAGTGTTACCAAATTAAAGCATTCAGAAATGCCTCACTCACCACCTATATGCCAAATTCATCACTTTGCTGATGTATCCTTCTTGACTCTCTATGGCCTACATGTTATTAAGAATAATATTCTTACTGGAAGGTCAGAATAATCGATATAAAATCTGGTCTCCATTACTGATTTGTGAAATTATATAGAGCTAGCTAATCTATATAGATTTCTCATCTAAATAATGGATAATCACTGTTTCTTATTCTTGGGGTTGCCATAATGTATTATACTAATTTTTCACATACACAATAAACTTTCTGACCAGCAGGAAGCACTCAGTCAGTATTAATGGTTTCATCATCATACACTCTGGCTTGACTTGCTCAAATGTTCATTCTTAGGGACTTTGCTCTATGCAATTGAAAAAAGTCTACAATAATTGACATTTGAAGTCTCTCTCAGAAGCATTTAGACTTCAAATCCATTAAACACTTCTGTGTTTAGAGCAAACTTATGTATCTCAGATCCACATTGTAATCCACACACACGTGTTTCTCTGGGATCAAACACTGCCTACGAAGTGTGATCTAATGTATGCTAAATGTCTAGATTTTAAGAGTATGTGACAATGAAAGGCACATTGCCGTTAATCTTCCTCCAGCTATTCCTTGTCACTTCAAGCACACTTGTTTTATTCCTTCCACTTTCTGAAGCAGTTCTGAAGGTCCTCTCTCACGACTGTCTTTACAAGGTGTGACAAAGTAAGACACAGTGAATGCTGCTGCCCAGGGCCATTCCAAGGAAAGGCAGCTTGTAGAAACATTAGAGTGGGTCCTTGTCCATCTGTTCACAGGGCCTGACACCCTGGATCCTGGCTCTTCCCCAAAGCCAAAATGACCATGAAAGACAAATGTTTTTAATTGATTCAGGGCATCAAGGCAGCCACAACAGCACAAATAAAGACACTTGAGAAAGAGAACTTCCAGAGCTGCTTCACAAAGTGCCAAGAAAGACAGGATGAATATGTTTGAAGGGACAGGGAGTATTTAAAGAGGGGCTAATGGCAGTGTGCTATTTACTGTAATAAACTTTTGATTTTACCTTTATTGTGTGTTTTGTTCATGTCATATTTTGGTATCTCCTAAGCTTGATAAATAAAATTGTTACTATTTTATTGTTATTTCAATAGAAGTTTATTTGCTTTGTTAGTATCTTTTATTGGAATTATTTTACTGAACAACCTCTAAAGTCAAATACTACTACTTAGTTGTAAGTAAGACTGGGTATACTTTACACATAATTAAAGAAAGTAAAATTTAAACCTCTTTTAGATACCTTGGTAACTCTACAGAAAATCAAGTTAGTATATGTTTTTCTTAAATTCCTTTTACATTATAAAAAATAAAAAGCAAAAAATTAGAATATCAATTCCATATTTTATAACCATATTCCAAATACAAAAATCTACCATGTGTATTTTTTCTTTGAGTAATTCACTTCCAGTATTTTGAATAATGTGCCTAATACGTGAAGAAAGATATATGATCATTTTACATTTTACATGATATATTATCATTTTACATAAGTTATTTGACCATAGCATAACCAAAGACATCCTGCTAAAAGAGATTACTGCAGGTAGAATAAAATAAAATAAAATTTGTTGTTTCTTTAAGGATTGTTGTATCATTAAGTCTATACATAAAAACCAAGAACTTCAAACTAAAATATTTTCAGGTTTCATCTTTTCTGTATTTTCACAAGTTCCAAAAAACGGTTGAGATTGGAGGCTAGACCAAAAGAAATCTTTCTACGTTAATATGACTACAGTGTCCATATGCTTTATCATATGGCATGATTAACTCAGTCATGTTCAAATCCTCAAACCCACTCCACTGTCTCATGTAATCTAGAGTGCGTGTGTGAATTAAAAGCAGACTTGTTACTATGTAAAAAGAAGTGGAAAAGAAATCTTAATAGGCTACTTCCTGCAGTTACCCCATGTCTATTGTAAATCTGGTAACTGAGATGCAAATGTTTACATTCCCTCCACAGGACCTGATGTGGGATCTGAAGGAGCAACTTTCCTCTCACTTCAAAGACGTCATGGTTGGTCTCATGTACCCACCACCAGCTTATGATGCTCACGAACTCTGGCATGCCATGAAGGTAGAGATCTGACACAAAACAACCCCACAACATGCACAGGCTGATATTTCAATACAGGGGAACTGCCCTGCAATGCTTCTACATACTTACATAATTGGGGAGAAAGCCAAGAAAATCTAAGCAAGGGTGTAACTAATATAATGTTTTGGTCAGGAGAGGGGAGTCCCCAGAGTTCTGTGGCCGGGATCAGCTTGTTCTTGTATTGAACAAATCCAGATATTCTGTACCCATTCCAAACAGAGCTATCAGAAGGAAAAGAAATTAGCTCACAGAACCATTTAGATCTGTTAGTCCTCAATATGATTCATAGATGGAGGATGTGTGTTACAAATCATGTGAATCTCTTTAAACTATATGTAAAGATTTGGCTCACAGTCAAAATAACATACTAACATAGAGACAAAATATAAAATGTCATTGTTGTGTGTTTTTATGATTTTAAATTTCCTTTTCAAAAATTGTTGCTTAAATGCAACAAAATTTTACTTTGGAAAGATTAGAATGATTCATTCTTTACAGCAAAGTAATTTCCATGCAGTAAATTGTTACCGATTTGTTACAGATTTTGTTGTCTGAGCACATAAGAAGAAGAAGACTTTTCATGTTCAGGAAGAGAGGTTTCTTTCAGATGATATTATCTGGGATAATTAGTAAATGCCAGAACCAGAACTAAAATTGGATTTATCTTCATACTAAATAAATTTTCTTTCTCCTTTGTCATCTCGAACAGCACTCAAAATGTAATATTCCTTTATTGTATGTAAGGTTAACTATTATTCCAAATAAAATGTTCTTTCATTTCTCTTTCTAGGGAGCAGGGACTGATGAGAATTGCCTCATTGAAATACTGGCTTCTAGGACAAATGGAGAGATATTCCAGATGCGAGAAGCCTATTGTTTGCGTAAGAATAAGTATTGTACATTGTACACGTGTGAATTTAAGATTTTTTCAAACAATACACAAAAATATTTCAGTTTGTGCATTCTAAATAGTTTCCTAAGACACTTCTATGTTGGAAATATGACTCACTGGGGTAGCAACCATGGTTACCAAAAGTTAAAAAGATTAGGTGAGAGGAGAGAAAAAGAGTTGGACAACCAGTCCACTGTTATATCAGGAGAAATAGCTCTAACACTCTATTTCATATAAGGCTCAGTATTGCTGACAATAATGCATTGTCTACTCAAAATAGCTATGCAAAAGGATTTCGAATGTACTCACTATACAGAAATGATGCCAGTTTAGGAAGATAAGTAAGCTAATTTCTTAGACTGGATCATTACACAGTGTACTCATAGGTTGAAAACTAGATATTTCAGTCAGCTTTCCATCGCTGAGACATGATAATAGACACCATAGTTCAAGGAGATATTTAATTTGGCTTAGTCCCAGGATATGTAGTCTGCAGTCAGCCAGGTTGGGCAGCTTCAAGGCAGGATGTCCTGGCAGAAGGAGGTGATGGAGGAAAGCTGTGTACTGAGAAGCAGAACAGAAACAGAGAGACACAGGAGATCAGGAGGGTGATAAATCTGTCCAAGCCACACTCCCACTGACTGGCTTCTTCTGACCAGAGCCCACCTTCCAACAGCAAGTGAACTATAAGCTCCTATAATCCAACCACTTCTCCAAACCCCTGCCTATGAGACCCTGAGGCTGTTGGGAGACATCTAGATATGAATCATAATTCCAATCAGATAGACACTATGAGCTTGCATACTTATTTTTATTGTACCCCCTAAATAGGTATGATTATTATGTCAATCAAAATAATAAAAATAAAAGATTTTTTTAAAAAATAGGACTTTTAAGACCAGCTAATTCATTTAATTAAAACTGGGGATTAACATACAAAAATGAAATAATTCCCTAGAAAAATCAAATTTTTCACAGCTTTAACTCTAAACATCTAGAAGGTGAATGTTTTCGTTGTGAAAGGAAATTATTCATCATCTTATTTCAAGGGACATTTTATCTCTACCCAGGAGAGACTTGATGCACAGACAAGATGAAGTGAAGTACAATCATTTCTCAGTGAATTGTACAAATAGATTTGCTTCACTTTATGTGATATACATAGTCCCTGTAATCTACCTCCAAATCAGATTTTTGCACATTTTGAAAGTTAAAAAGGGTTGCTATTTTCATTTTCAAAAACCTTTCCATTATGTATTATGCAATACCAAATGTCAAGAAATGGTTCCAGACAGTCATCTGTATTACATCTGGATTAAAACAATATTTTTTCAAGGGGAATGAAGCAAGAAGCTTCACTTAAAATATTAAAATGAGATGAAACACTTGAAAAAAGTACTAGGCTAGGTAGCAGAAGATGTAAATAGATGCATAATCCCAAATTGGGAGAATTAGAGAATGTAAAGTAATTCTCAATGTTCCTTTTCAGTTGAGTAATAAAGATCATTACTTAAGGCAGTAGATCTGTGCCAATGTCGCCATTCGTGAACAGATTTCTTTGGCAGATGGTCATGAGTAAAGACATGTTAACAGATCCATTGTATTTTTTGTGCTTTGCATTCATGGCTGGGAAGGTAGTGTAAACTTACTCAAAGCACATGAATATATGATTCTATAATGAATCATACTTCTTTTTTTTTTTTTTTTTTTTTTTTTTTTTTTTTGCTTAGAACATAGCACTAACCTTCAGGAGGACATTTACTCAGAAACCTCGGGACACTTCAGAGATACTCTCATGAACTTGGTCCAGGTATGGCATTCCAAAATTCATACCACTTTATACTAGTAAAATGCATATGGGGCAGAAATCATCATTTTTTTACAGTTCAGCAGTAAGTTTCTTATAATAATACTATCAACAATGCACAAGGCACTCAGCTAGAAACTTTGACTTGCAGATAGAAATAAATACAAATATATACCAGTCTGTCTATGAAGATTAATTACACTTTTTAAAACTGCTGGATGCATTAGCTACTTACAAACATGCCTGGGTTGGTATTATGTACCTACTACTGTGTGATAAGACAAGTATATTTCTCATCCAATGACAACAAAATACTGTATTTTTATAAGCCCTTTAGAAATGAAGATGTACAAAGAATATAAAGTTCTAGTTCTCTGATTGTTAAAGGAGATAATAAGCAGAAATTCGGAATTTAATTGAATCGTACAGATCCCTAGAATCAACACAGGATATCTGTGAGACCTATAAAAGTTGTTCAGTGCTATACATAGCCAAAGGGAGCACCACTTAAAATAAAAATTAGATTTTGTCATTTACCCTGTTTTTCTACATCAACTAAATGGTGTGTAATCATTCCCAATTAACATTTTATCATAAAAGTTAATGCAAATTAATTGCACGAGTTAGTGGCTTTCAATGACATTTTCATAGCTGCTGTATCCTGCTTTGATCACAGCCACTCTCCCTGCTACCTTTTTTGTCCTACTCTTTCTCCTCCCTTCACCTAACATTTCTTGAAAACATCTCACATAATAGCACTGTAATAATAATATTTTAAATGTATAATTATCTTTTGTATTATGCAGATTCTCAAATATGCCTATCATCCTCTAGCAAAGGCATCTAGGAAAGCAAAAAGAGTTAATGTTTAGCTCTTAACAATTAGAGAATCTAAAGGACCACAGCTGGAAAAAGGTCTTAAAAGCCAGTAATTTGTTGTGCTATGTGTGTGTGTGTGTGTGCGTGCGTGCGTGCGTGTGTGTGTGTGTATGTGTGTGTGCATGTGTGTGTGTTTGAAATAAAACATGTGTTTCTAAACCCGCAAAACTTTCCTTTCCACCTCCAATTAAGAGCATACTATTCAGCAAAAAATTCTACTAAAATTCACAGGTAGCAATTAGACATGAGAATATGGAATCAAGAAAAGATTTCTCTGCCCTAAAAGACAGAAGAATAAATGAAAGCTCTTTTACTGGCGATGAATGTGGTAGAGTGATGTCTGGGACAGAGAAAGACCTGCAGGAGACCTGAGCAATAATCATGTCTAACAGGCCGGGGACATAGCTCAGTGGCACAGCAATGCCTGGCAAGCACAGGTCTTTAAGTTTGACCTGACCAAGTTGATCCTGGTCCCAAAAATAGAAGAAAACATATGTTTAAGCCCCACTGGAACACAGGGACCCAGACTGAGGTGAGCATTTAGAATCACCACGTAAAAACATAAGCTAACTATTATGTATTATTTCTTTCTTTTCTCTGAAATACTGCATTGCCAATTGTTTTTATGATTTCTTGGACTGTTTTAATCTAAGCATTTCTGTGTCTGCAAGTGACAAACTGTCTTTGCCTTTTAGCCGTTCTGTCTTTATCTGTAGTATGCTGTGATGTTTGTCCTTCCTGATGCTCCTTCCTCTTTCACAGCTCAATTTTGGCAAATTTACCTGCCTTTTGGGTTTTTTTTATAGCTTAAATAGTCCACTTAGCCTTCACCTGGGTTTGTGAGTTTATTGAAAATGAGCATCCTTAGACCTAGAAAAAATTAGTATCTTATTTCCTTTCAGCTGTATTTTTCTTAAAATAGTTTTCTCTATATCTGTACACACTCTTTTCTTTTTCTTTTCACAGCTTAAAGACAATTGCTGAAAATCTCTTTCAGACAATAAAACCAGCCAAGTACTTCTGCGAGACTGAGTTGTACAAACCCTCGTTTTCCAAAGCCTTTGCAGGTTGCAGGTCACATTGCTTCTCTTCTGCAAGTAGTTTCCTCTTCTAACTCTCAAAAACACCAAATTTCTAAACTTTCTCCCTCTTCTCTTTTATCTATGCTTAGAAACCAATTATTTACGACCCAATCTTTCTTGTAATACGAGGCTAGAAAATAAGATAAATGCCGTTTCTCAAGCTCACATGAAGAGCAGAGCACGTGTTACTGATCAGAGAACACCTCTCCTGCAAAAAGTGAAACAGATAATTTGCAAAGCAGAGAGACAATGGAGAGTTATTTGCAGGACTTGTTATCAATACTTTGTTGTGCTGCATGTAATTTTTGCTCAGATTTTACTTGCTGAACTTCAAATATCCCTGCTTAAAATCAAAGATGACTACAAAATATGGTCAGTCTGTTTTTCTTCAAAAAAGTTGAAACCAGTTTTTCAATTGGTTACTATAGTACCTCAGACTTGTAAAGAGAACTGAATACTACACTAAAAATGTTAAGTGACCCCCAGAAGGTTACAAAGATGAAAAAGCCTATTAGAAAGAAAAGTCTAAGGATGACTGTAATAGGCACAAAGGAATTTCCAAAAGTATAGTAAGCATAAACAGTCAAAAAAACTCAAATTGCTGTTTGTTCTTTCTTAAAAGTACATCTAAGTAAGAAAATATCTTTGCATTTTCATCTATTGTATCTATAGATGTATAGATCCTTTTCATGTTACCATTTCAAATGATCTTTTAAAAGACCAATATATGAAAGTTGCTTCTTGGCTTTGGTCTTATTTGTAGAATGATGATGTCAATAATGTAAATAACAAAGAAGAAACAAAAGATTACAGGAAGAGAAAGAATGTGCTACTTTAATCAGAATAAATCAAATCTCTGTATAATTAATGCTATGAATAATTAGCCTCTGCACTGAGGAAGGGCCAAACAGGTGGTTACATTCTGATCTTTTATTTCTTCTTCTTTCTTTCTGGCAAGAAGTATACTCAAAACATGTAGTTTACATTTACATAAGAACCAAATAAGCTAGTTTCAAAATTTCTGGTATCAAATTAAATAATCATTTCTTATCCAGACCTCTCAAGGGACTCACTCTGTAAAGGCATCCATTCCATGAGAACTTCTCTCTTCCAAGCTTTTAGAGTAATTTCCATTCTGTCTAACCAAACAGGATGAGTGTGTGTTTGCTTATTCATCTTCCCAGGAGACCGATTTCCCTAAACAAGAGAAGTATTTCCCGCTTCATAGTACAAACTTACTTCTCTTACTAGTCATCTTCTAGCAGACTTTTTAGAATGAGTTCACGATATTCTGGCTCAGATTAGAGAATGAAAAGAAACAAGGAAACAGTTACATTGGGAAACTATATTTCCCAATAATATTTAGAAAAATAAACTTGTAACCATATGCTGACCCACACTTTACCCCAAAATTTCAAGTTTTCAAATCTTTAACTAGAGAAATCTACTTTGTTGTTATTTTCTATAAGAGAGATCAAAATGAGATCAGTCTCTTTTTCTGAAGTATCTTTATGATTTCACACATGAAAAGTTAATGTTAAGAATTATTTCTTGGGCCAGGGATATATATCTTGGTGGCACAGTGCCTGCCTGGCAAGCTTGAGGTCGTAAGTTCGAAGAAACAAAATTATTTCTGGCAGATATAGCAGTTCTTGCCTGTAATCCCTGCTCTCTGAGAAGCTAACACTGGAGGATGATGGCAAGTTTCAGGCCACCCTGAGCAATATAACAGCTTATCAAGACCTTGTTTCAAAATGAAAAATTAAAGAGGGCTGGAGATGTAATTTAGTGTGCAGGCCCTGGGTTCAATCTTGTGTAATGAAGAAAAGTTATTTCTTGTGGAGAACTATATGGATACAGAAATAGTCAAAATAAGAAAATGGCTATTGTTGGTTTTTTTATTTAGGGCTTTGTTTGTTTTGTTTATTTGTTTTTTTGTTTGTTTGAGATAGGGTCTCACTATATAGTCCAGGCTGGCCTTGAACTCCTGGTGATCTTCCTGCCTCACCCTCCCAAGTGATGAGATTACAGGTGTTGACCTCTAGAGAAAATGGCTATTTATGCTTAAGGAATCCCTTAAAACAATAGTAATTTGCAAGTGTGAAGTACTATTTCATTTCCATTTTGTTCTTTATTGTACTCTGCTATCAGTCTCATTTGAGGTAGATTAAGATGTCCAAACACAAATGTTTCCTTTAATGTATACTTATTGCAATATATGCTTCATATTGTATTTAACACTTAGTTTATACGATCAAATTAAAGAATGCATAAATATACATGCTAGATTAGGACATAAACTAATAATTCAGTTTATTGCCAGGCTACTCAGATGCTGATTATTTTATATCCTTTGTGTGTGTGTGTTGATGTACACTCAAGCTATTGTGAGTTTTGAATTAAGAATACAGAAGTTTCGTAAAGTTACCAAGAAGGAGATACATTAACTGCCCCATGCTGACTCTGGTACTTGGGTTACTTGCATTCCTTCAAATTGTCAGTTTAAAAATAGCAAAATCACAAAGCAAATTTATTGACCTTTTAACTAAATTTGAAACATTAAATTTCATTTTAAAAATCAATACTTACACTTTTCTGTGTTTGGCTTTGGTTTAGTTTCTTTTGGATTTTCTTGGTTTGGTACAAAGTTCATAAAATTCCTCCTATCTCCAATCCCAATTAGGTCTTATTCTGAGAATTTCAATAGCTAAGACTACAGCCCTGCAAAGAAGGAAGTGTGGTTTGTCAGAGTCTAAATTGAAACTTGGGGTGATTTACCATGGGAATAAGATTTTAATTTGCAATAGAAGTTTAAGTCATTTGTAGGAAAAGTACCTTTAACAATATTTTAAGATAATCTCACTTGACAATATAACCATTGTACTTCTTCTAAATTTTACATTGCATAAATTTAAAACATTCAGTGTAGAAAGGGAATTTTCTTTTTACTTTTAGAGTATAAATTGAAACAACAGTTTCCACTCATATGTTCCTCTTGACACGTTCTGCTTCTAGTAAAGCCCATTGTGCCATTATAAATCC